ACGTCATTCCAAGGACAACTGTCACACCTATGTCAGTACTTTTACACGGGCCCACCTACGCCCATTTTAACACCTCTGTTCCCTTTTGCATATTCTCAATTGTGCAAAGTGTTTCACCTCGGCTTCAACCACAATAATGCTGCATTACATTTCACATCGACTTCGGCCACAGTAATCCAATATCACACACTTTATTTCGGCTACGAGCATTATGACCTCAGTCATTATATTTTATTATGGCCCTGGCCAATATAAATCCAAAGCTTCCCGCTCAAATAGCTGCAGGACAATGACAGTAAGCATACCCGCACCTGATTCCTTATGATGAGCGGCACAGCAAGTATGGTGGACATCCGTGTATCTAAATACCTCTCAAATTCCCGGTCCCGGAATAATCGTTTGGATAGACACGTCAGGCTCCGACTATCTTGCTTGGCATGCCACGTGGGTTCCTCATTGAATCCTATAAATACCCCCTCCGGGCCACGTCAAAAGGTAATTGAAACTTACCCTAAGCTCTTTTTATCTCCGCTCTAGTGGTAACCCCGATTATTGCTGACTTAAGCATCGGAGTGTCTACCCCGAGGTCCACCTCGGGGCTTTGCAGGTTATTCCGAAGTGCAGTTGCGGACTGTAGAAGGACTTCTGGTTCGTTGCAATTACAGGGCATCAGTGCGACGAGGATCGGTGGTGTCTTCATCGACATTTGATGGGCGCAGTGGTAATGCACGAGAGAAATCTCCCTCCCCAACCTTTCCACACACAGCCTCTGGTCTGATGAATCCTTTTCAAGCTTTCAACTTTCTTAGTGATGAGATTGAGATTTCAGATCCAAAATCATGAGTAGGGGAAAACGAGTGGAAAATTGTCGAGGGTTTTTGTTTGTTTAGTGAGAGAGAAAGTGGAGGATCGAGGGATGGGATTCTAGTATGAGTGAGAATGAAGGTAAGCTTAGTTTAAATGGTAACAATGGGAGAGTGAACAGTTGGCAGTGGTGGTGACTGTCTCTCTGAGCACTGGGATTCTCATCTCCATTTTTACACCTGCAGATTGAAGGCAAAAGAAACTATGAATCACAAACAAAAGGGCGAATATTTGGGCTTCTCAACTCAAACTTTGATGTATTATGACCTTGACATGAACCTCCTCAACTCCAACCTAACCCCAATCTTCAATTTTGGAAGAGGAAGATAAATAATTTTTGCAAAAGATGCTTATTTTTGTTTATGGGAAGAAGGTCCATGGCTAGGTTTCAAATGGAAAGGAAAGAGAAGGGGATGATTTGGGGGCTAGGAGATTCAATGGTATTGAGAAGTGGCAATGGGGTTTACAAAGGTGGGGGAATAGAAAGGAAAGTGAGTGAGAAAGCGAAAGAGGGAAATGATGATCATTTCCCTTTTATTTTATTTTATTGGAATTTTTGAACATGTGCCTCAGTTTTTTTTTTTTTTTTTAACAAGTTGTCACGGGACTTGAAACCGTTCATGCGAGGCGGAATGCATCTCAAACTAATTGAGCGTCAGTTGATCTGAAGGATTAAGTGTGAATATGTATCCAATTAAA